ATCGTAGAATCTTCGCTTACGACTTAAAAATTTATCCATATGTTTTTGTTAATCTACTGCCGTAAATGCTTATTACTGTGAATTACAACTAAAGCGCAAATTATAAAATTTACATTCGAGGTAAATTCCGAAGCCTTAGAAGTATCGATTAGACCAAGACTAACTGGAATGCTACGAGGTACAGCAGTTTTACATGTTTTGCTCAGACGTCAGATGAGTTTCCCAAACTCACGCAGACGTTCGCGAGATGTGCTGGACATGATAGAGTGCAACATAGACCACAGACTATTATTCTAATGACATTTCTACTTTTAGAAATCTATGGATCATGGAGGAAATATATTTTTAATTAATTATCATTTTGCAGTCTACTCCAGTTTAAAAATTAGCGAAAGGTAAACAAAACCGTAATAATTATCCTATTACTTAAAAGTAATTTTCTTAAAATATATACAAATGTTAATAGTTATCTTATTAATTTGTAAGGTTTTTAATTAAGTTCGTATCGTAGCTTTAGCCCCAAATGCATTATTATTGAATTCAATGTATTATTATTGTATAAAGGAGGGGGGCGATAAAATTATGATTGAAAATTGGGTTGCCAATAGCGAGAGTTTGAAAAACACTGTTGTAAGAAAAAGCATTAACTTATACACGAATCATTTTACATTAAGAAGTATACGGTTAAACTTTGAGTAACAGTGTGTCAATTGTATTTTAATTTCAGCATTATGAACAAATATATTGTATTTCGTTGAGAAATTCTCTAAATATCAAATATAGAAATTATCGTTTTTTAAAAAAAGAAAGTATTTGTAATTTTAACGTAAAAGTGAATAACAGAGGAAAATTTTAAAATATAATCTGAACAATATCGTTTCAAATATATAATGGAAGTTTTGCTTTTGCAATCCTATCTTGGAATTCGAATACGAATGAAAAAAATAACAGTTTTTAATTTAGATCGCTTCAAAAACCGAGAGTTTTTGACATTTGAAATTAAATAACTTGATCATATTCAGTTTCATTGTTAGACATGTAAGAAATAAGATTAATTATTTTTAAAAGAATTTAATTTTATTAATAAAAGCGATTCTATTGAATGTTATAACATGGGGGGGGGATAATTTGGATAGTTTTTAAAGAATGAGATGTATACTGCTGTTTGTAAAAAATACGACATCATGAAAGAATCAGCAGAATTAAATGAATTTTAATGCACAAACTACTTGTATTAGTACAAATAAATGACGAAATTTTCAATGCAAAAAAGCATTTAAATGTCCGAAATCAGTATTTCATGTAGCCACCAGGGGCTGCAATAAGTGCTGCTATCCGACGTGGCATGGAGCCAAAAAGATTTTGAATGTCTGTTTTTGGAAGATATTTCCATATTGCTTGTATGCGCAGCAAAAGTTCGTCTTTTGAAGCTGCTGGAAGCAGATCACGAGCGAGACGCTTACAAACTAAACCCAATAAATGCTCAATAGTCCACACATCCAGCGAATAAGCAGGCCAAGGAGAAGTTGTATGTGTTGGATTGAATAGAAGTCTCAAACAGTTTTTGCAACATGTGGGAGTGCAATACCCTGCTGAACGATAGCTCCACGGATGCCTTGAAGAAAGAGAACGACCACGGGCTGTAGAACTTTAAGGACGTACCTCTTGGTATTGAGATTAACCTCAATTCGTAGTATACTGGATCATCCATGAAACAAAATAGCACCCCAAACCATAAATCCGGCAGTTAGGCCACTATGTATTTCGATAACACACTCTGGAATGCAGCGCTTACCAGCATAGCGTCTAACACGAATGCGGCCATCATGAAGCGTATTTTATCTGAAAAGAAAACTTGGTGCCAATCATCTTGCCATGCTCTGTGCTCATGAGCCCTTTGCAGACGCAGCCATTGATGGTTTGCTATGAGGGGGATCCTGTAAAAAGGCACCCTTGCACAAAATCCACGGTAGAGCAGACGTCAACGAATTGAAGAAGCCGACATTAGTTCACCTATAGCAGTAGACAACCGTGCTGCCAACTGCTTAGAGGATCCTGTATGGTCATTCACCACAATGCGGAGCAGGTGTCGATCATCTTGCGCTGGCGTCACCTTCCGTTGTCCACACCAGTTTTTCGAGTTTTTCGGTGCTCTTCGGTCATTGCTTCCAAACTTGCATCACTGTTGAACTGTTCCGCTGCACACAAGCTCCTATTACGTGATAGGAAAATCCTCTTTCTCGAAGTCCAATAATCCTCCCCGTTCAAACTCCGCAAGTTATTGGAATTTATCCTTACTTCATCGTGGAGGCCTACTTAGGTCTCACTAATCGTTCGCCATAAACAAATAATCATTAACTATTTTCAACGCCCCGATACAGCGCTCTATTTATACGCTTTCATCATCAGTTCAGAGGGCGCTGCGCACGCCCCGCATGCGCGGTGATTGTGAAACTTTACTATTTTACGTAACATCCTATGATTGATATTTGCCGCAAAGTTCATTTAATTGAGTTCAGTTGACTACAACGTTCATTGATTCCTTCACTGTGTTGCATTTTTTACAAACAGCAGTATTCAGTGGTATAGTTGGTATAGTGAAGAATTGAAGGCAATAAAAGTATTTTATATAATTTAGATCATTGTAGTTTAGGCAATGTAAATTTTAAATAGATTTTCTCTTTATATGTTTCAACGTGCTGATTGGAATTACATAGACTTTAAAAAGTCTGGGATTATGTACCATAAGGAATTTATAACCAATCGAACACTTTGCTATTTTAGATTTGTTAGGAACAAAACAAATATTAATTACAATTTTAAAACTTTACCCTTCAGACAAGAATTATAAATATATTATACTTTTCGAATTAATCCATACACACATTTTTTTTCTTGTCTAAGTTTGTATGTGATTACCATTTATGTCCCGAACCGTCTTAAACTAGTTATATCTGTCCAGAAGTAATGCGACAGATTGAACTTAATCGATAATTTATTCACTTGATTGGTTTTAATACATTAGTAGTTCAGTTGTGAGTCTTTTTGTGTGATAGCTGGTGGTTATAATTTTGCTTTCAAGGTAACATGTGTTACTTTTGATTGTCCAGGAGGAGGTGTACTAAGAAAATCGTTCTTAATGAAAACACTTTTATGACTGGGAGAGATATAGCTACGGTAAATGGTATGGGAAAATGAATGTTTCAAGAATTTTAAGAACATTTCAAGGTTCTGGATCATCGTCTCCAAAAAGAAAAGAAAAATATAGGTTTAAACGGGAAATTACTCCAAGAACTGATAAAATTCTAATAATAAATAGCAAAGTAAGGCAAGCATAGACCTTTGAAGAAATGTGTTGCATGTTGAAGGGGGAGTTCTTTAACTGTACCAAAGAGTATTCTAGAAGTTAAACGTAAGGCATCAAACCCGAGAAAAAGCAATTTCTAACTCAGAAAATGATGTAAAAACGTTTAGAATAGTCCAAAAATACCGATCCAGAACTTTTAATGACTACAAGAAGGTGATTTTAGTGATGAAACCTATTTATTTATGCATGGATACATACTAAGTGTAGTTAACCGAAGTGAAGTTGAAACTCTGATGCCAGATCCTATCCAACAGACTGTAAAATACCCATCTAAACAGATATTTTGTGGTTTTTTCACAACAAATGGCACTGGAAGCTGAGTTTTTTTTAAAGGCATCATGAATTATGTCAAATACATAGAAATGTTACGTAATAAAGTTGTTCCATCTATGGAAACATTTGTTAGAACATTTCAAAATGACATATTCTCAAGAATCGTTTCGCTAAGATGAGTTGTACGACAACAGATAACAACAAATGATAAAAAGTTCTGTACAAGTGTGGTTCCACGATGATGAAGTCGAGAACATGTGAGCTGCACTAGTTTAGTCGATATCAAGATGAGTTGAAGAGGTCATTTCTGCTGCAGGAGGACATACTTCGTACTGATATAGAGATTTTTCTGTCTACTTAAAGAATGCAATGATTAAAATCTAGGGTTTTAGAAAGAATTGTTTTTTTCCTTTTGTTTCGTTTCGAACAGTTAGTATATCTTCATTGTTGACCAAAACTCTGGATAAAAATCATGATTCGAATTAGCAAAATATTAACCTTTTTTAAAAACCTATTTAAAAATCAACTTTTCATAAAAATATTCTTAAGTTGTAGCAAGTGAGAATAAGTAAATCAAAAACTCAAAGCAAAATAGGTTATTTCTGAACAGTTATGCCTTGATTTCGAAATTGAAAAATTATCCTTTTGCTATTCGAAATCTTATTTATGGTACAGCACTTCTTTTCACTCTCCGGATTCACATTTATTCGGAAGCCCAAGTAAAATAATAATCTCTAGTACTTGTTTATGTAAGAAATATCCAGTTGAACTGAACGGAAAGGGGTTGATGCTTGTCGAACTATGAAGCAGCAGGGTGTTGCTTGGGTTTGGATGAATGAAGGCAACATATTAAGCGACATATTTGAGGTCTAAAATTATAAAGTTCGTCCCCAATACCTTTCTTGTTGCTTCAGAGTGTGGCGTTCATAAATAACCAACCAATAAATGAACGGAATACAGGTCGAACATGCTCTCTCTAAATACATAGTATAGGAACAAAACCTCAATTTTTAACAGGAATAAATACTTTCTTGAGAAATAAATTAAATACTATCAAATTGGAATTTAACAAGTTATATAAAAAAAAAACATTTTTTAAGTCAGTGCCTACTTAGGTCAACAACGAAATTTTTTATTTTAGTTACTTTTTTATTAAATAATTACAATTAATATATAAATATGTATATACATATGAAAGAATCACAATGTTAAGGGACAAAAAGAAAGCGATTTCCCACTTCCCTTTCTATATATGGTGCTATACTATTATTTTTGTTAGTTACTATTTATTCATTAATTAAATTTAATTATTCTTATAAAGTAGTATAGTGAAAATAATCTACATTCTCAGAAATATGGCCATCCCACTTGGGATTCGAAACCCACGACCCTTGGATTAGAAGTCCAACGCACAATCTATTGTGCTATAGAGACACAACGAGCGATTTTTCTTTTCATATTTGGTGTTGGACTATTATTTTTTGTTACTATTTATTCATTAAATAAATTTAATTAATAAATTCATACTGGAAAAAACTGTATTAACAGCAAGTGTCATCCACTACAAATCTACAAAATTGTATTCGGTAAGAATTATTAAATTTGGTTTAAAATTAAATCCCTAGACCACTTTTAACTTTTATTTTCCGTTATATCTTCAAGTATTAAATTGATTACCCACCTATAGATTGAAGAACATATGGCGCTAAACAGAATTTTTATTACCGACTAATAATTTTTATTACCTCGTATGCCATACTTAACTTTCAAATATATCTCTTCAATAAGAAGTGCACGTGATAAATCTGCCTTACTGGTTAAAGCCACTTATTTTTAACGTGTGCCCGTTTCTCTCTTAGCGATCAAAAGTTTCGTTGAATAAAAACCATTTTTACAAAATGACTTCTTGTTACTCGGAAACACGATATATATATATATATATATAGTAACATAAAATGAAAGAAATACATAGCATAATAAAATTGATAATACAAAATTATATCACTAACAAAGCTAGAAGATTTAAACTAAATTCCAGGAAACACAACTTTAAAAGTGATGGAAAAGTCTATTGTAGAAGATTTAACTAAGGGTATGTATAACATGGAACAGAATTAGACCTTTAAAATGTAAGAAGCCAAAAGAGTCAATAGACTAAAATGAAGACCTGTTATGATTTCTAAAGCTGTTGCTGAATTAGGACCAGCAAATTAGGGTTAAATATATTTTATGGCACCTACCTTCCCCTGTTCAGCAGAAATTTTATACATAACAGGAAAACATACCCATATTGAAAAGTTAGGCCTAAAATCAACCACGTGTAATTTGCAACCAAAAGAAAAATAAAATAAAAATAATAGAAAATATGAAAGGAAATGAATCCTAACAAAATACAAATAAAAATAATTTTGAAAAGGAATAATGAAGAAAAAACTTACATGAAAAAATGCAAATAACCGGAGAGCGGGAAAAAAACTGTACGTACGAGAGCAATCACACTAAATGACCATTAAAAATGACGTGTTAAGTTGGTAAAACCAGATGCAAAAATTAGTGGCGCCACCTGGGTAGTTTTTTTTGTAATTAAACAAAGCAAACAAAAACAAATTGAAAATAATAAAAAACAGAAGGAGAATAAAACAAAGAATAATACTTAAACTTTGAAAAGGAGAATTAGAGAGATAATTTAGAAATATATTTAAAAATGAAGTTACTTGGATAGTTGTATTCCAAGCAATTAATGCAGAATAGCTTAAAATTATTTTGCTTAACATCATTATCTGTGACTAAAAATCGTTACTTCTTTTAATAAAATTTAAGATGATATTTCTAAAAATAGATAGAGAGAGAGAGAGAGAGAGATGTGGGTTACTTTCCCAAAAAGGCATTTTAATAATGTTAAAATCAAAAGAGTCTCTTTTATCAAAAATATTACTAATTAGTATATTATTCTTAACAATTAATTGTGGGTCTAAAAAGTTTGCAGAGTCATTATTATAATTGGTTTTTAATAAATTCAGATATTGGGGATAATATTTAAAACTAGGAACATAATTTACTATATTACTAAAGATGATTAAGTCATCTATGTATCTAAAAAAGTAACATGAATCGAAACTAATGTTATCATATTCATAAAAGTGCAGATAAATATTGGCTAAACAGTTACTAGGACTAGTTACTAGTTACCTCCTTGTGGAAGACCTTTAATTTGCTGATAATAAGAGTTATTGCGAAAAATATAATTTTCATATAGTACTAGATGAATAATAGAAAGATATTTATCATACTTAATTAGTTTATTCAAAGAATATTTGTTATAGGCTATTTTGAGAATTTTAACCATGTCCCCAATATCTATGGAATTAAATAAATCTTCAAATTCATAGGTGTGAATAGAAATAATTTTTTTATCTTGCATGAACTTAATGATATATAAGCTATTTTTAACTATAATCGAATTATCAATACTGTCTAATATATATATATATATATATATATATATATATATATAATATATATAATATATATATATATATATATATACATATATATATATATATATCAATACTGTCTAATATATATATATATATATATACATATATATATATATATATCAATACTGTCTAATATATATATATATATATATATATATATATATATAGTATAATAAAATGAAAAAATAACAAGATTAAATTATACAACTAACAAAAGTGGGAGATAGAAACCAGATTTTAAGAAACATAAGTATAAAAAAATTATGGAAATGTATATTGTACAAGATTTAAATAAACGTATGTAGTACAGGAAACAGAGTTAGAACTTCAAAGTGGAAGAAACCAAAAGATTCAATGGACTAAAATGGAGACCTATTATGATTTCTAAAGCTGTTGCTGAATTAGGACCAGAAAATGAAAGTTAAGTATACTTCCCCGTACAGCAGAAATTTTCAACATAATAGGAAAAACAGAGCCATATCGAATAGTTAAGCCTAAAACTAACACACATGTATTTTGCAACAGGCAGAAAATAAAATAATGTACACATATATTGTGACGGGGCTATTCGCAAGATATTCTAACTAATCCTCTTGGGAAACTTTGGGGAAACATTTATACTAATTCACAGCCTTTCAGGAGAAACACGAGATAGATATATGTTAATTAGTTCCACTATATAAAATCTATATAGGTTTCGTAGATGTAAGGAGGAGAAGGAGCCGCGAAGCTGTCAAGTAAGTTGAACATTGGAGAATTACTTCACGAACTTAGCGTGCATTTAAAAGGTGTAAATTCTGAGATTAAATTATTAGAGTGAAGTTTTAAGATAGTAGATTTAGAATCGGCCTGAGATCATTAGTGATTGTTATCCTTGTCCATTTCTGGTAGTTGGGATTACTTAGAATTGAGTATTAGGATTAATCGACGTTCTAGCGATCACTCCTAGGTTTCTTCTTATAGTTAAACTTCTGATTGTTTAAGTGTTTGTTCAGAACTTGAATAAATATATTTGTTATTATGGCGTTTGTTGGTGATGCTGTGTTTCCTCCCACACTTAGAGACGTGCCGGGCAGAGTGAGTGGGGTCCCAATTCGGACCCCACCACCACAATATATAGGGAGAGTGTGAACTAAAGTTAGGAATTGGAAAGATACTTACTTGGATTCCAAAATTTAAAGATACACTTAAGTATGACTGAGCATGTGCTTAGAAGAATTTGGAACACGAGTCTAACTTTTATTTCATTATGTAATTAATATGTTTCGTGTAAGAAATATTTTTTTTTCGAATTTGTTTATTCTGTTTGGTTATTTTAATACGAATTGTTTTTTAATATTCTGAAAGGTTTTTTTACATCACTAAGATTGAAAAACTGTTCAATGTTCTGTGTTCCTTTAAATGGAATGAAAAATGAATTGACGTGAAGCTTTTTTTATCTTTTAAAAATGTATATCTCATGAAAGCCTTTTCCATCAAATTTTCTTCTGAAAGCTATCCAATTATCGTTTTATTTTTACAGAACTAGATGCAATCTTTTTTATAAATACATTTAAAAAAACCTTCTTAAAATGGAAGGCATGGATTGCCTGTCATAGAAATTTTGTTGTTAATGTTAAAATGAATCGAGCAGAAAGAAAGTAGATTTAAGAAATCAAACAATAAATTCTAGAAGCAAAGACATTGTAAAATAAAACAAATATAACGTTTATTTTAAACGAAATTGAAATAAACATAAGTTGTTGTTTCAGAAGAAAAAAAATAAGTCACCATATCAATATATTTTTTTAAAAATGAAATGACGATATGATCGTTATATAATACATAATAAAATTTAAAGCATTTAATGCTTACCAAATGAATTTAAAAAAAATGAATACTTCCCCGTGTCTTGTGCATTGTCTGTCAGAGCAATGTTAAAGTATTCAAAGTATAAGCAAATGAAGTGGACTGTATTTTAATTATATTCAAAAAATAAGATTTATTTACATAATTAGTGCAGCAATGTGAAGTTAAGCAAAAAAATACCTTGTGATACATGAATATTTTAAAATCTTTCTAAACAAAGACGACGAACGATTATGCGTTCTCATTTGTGGTTCAGAATCCAATCCCCCCCCCCCCAACCATGATCCATAGGAAGAAACAAATGCGATTGTCTCTCGCCAAATGCACACTTCGACGGAGAAAAAATGTACAGAAAAGTCTTTTTGTTAAATTTTTTAAAGATTTAGATGGAATTATTCAAATCAACATTTCACGCCCTAAAATTATATATTAATATCGAATGCTGAAACGATGATTAAAACGTTCACGCTCTTGATTAACTAGTTTATTTTTCAAAGTAAACATAAAATACCATACAATATCATGCACTTATGATTTCAAACTACATTTATTTAATTTTTAGGAATACTCTCCGTCTAACATGCTTCCTTTCTTTTACGCAGAAATTTGGAATATACATGTGTGATGGTCTTACATTTCAAAGTTCTTTATTCTAGGAATTTTTCAGGGTTTTCGAACAATGGTATACTCAATTAGCAAACGATAAGGGAAACAATAAGCCTGAGTAGGAAACTATTCCATAAAAGTGATGGGTTGTATTCAATAAAGATGCTCACAAGAATGTTATTCTAGATTTTAGAGAAAGAATACGATTTGCACTAAGAATGCATTTCCAACCTGAATGAGTTCGCATATTTAGGATCAGATCTTTGTCTTTTTGAAGCCGTAATTTTCAAATGAAAATCGAAGTCTTAATAAATCGTGTTTGCTCTAGTAGAAATGTAGTTAATGCTGGTTTGAAATGTTAAGTCCTCCAATTTGCAAAGGAAAATAAAAAACGTGCAGCAGCAAGGATTTTGGATGTTGTGAAAGGAAAATGAAATCGTAATAAAATTCATAGCTAAAATTTTCCAAGAGTATAAGTTTATC